GGAAAATGAAGTGATGTTTCATAAATTGCAATTTTAAATGAAATTGTTTATTGCGAACATTGTTAACTAGAGATGTTGTTTATTAAATGTCTAAAGAAAATGTACAATTTTGTAGTAGTAAGTAACTTACATGTTCTAATGTGACGGTATAATATATATATATATATATATATATATATATATATATATATATATATATATATATATATATATTTATTTTCATTCAAACAGCTTTGATTAAATAATTTAGACATATCATGGGATTTGTTTTCGTCGAAATACTTTCAAGTTCATGCATTAGAGAGTTCTTTTCGAATAGTTTTTATTTTCCCAACTACTTTCAATCTCACGAGAGACCATATTTAGGAATTAAGTTGTCTGTATAAATGTATAAAGAATCACAAAGAAAAAATAATATATGTCTAAATTATTTATCCTAACTCCTTTGAATGAATATATATATATATATATATATATATATATATATATATATATATATATATATATATTTTTTTTTCATGCTAAATGCAGTCGTGATGCTATGTGGTGAGAGAGTTTATATGAAAAACAGACTGTCACCTGCGTGTGTTGACTTTTAATGTTCACTTATATTTACATATATATATATAAAATATACGGATATAGATTCGACAGTATGAAGAAAAATATATAGGGAAAAAACAAACAAAAAATCCTTATATACAATTATGCTGTTTTAATGTTAATATGTCAACGTTGGACGTTTCGGTCTAACAAACCATCTTCAAGACATATTCATAAATTATAAATTATCAATACAACATGACAAAGGTTATCAATAATACGTTTACAAAATTTGGGATGGCCTTCATCACAGGAAAACAAGGGAAAAAAGTCCATAATCAATATATATATATATATATATATATATATATATATATATATATATATATATATTAGAGAGAGAAAGAGAGGAGAGAAAGAAAGAGAGAGACAGGGATTCAGAAAGAAAAAAAGATAGGAGTTTGATTCTGATATATAAATATATGCATGTAATATTCCTTACATATATATATATATATATATATATATATACAATATATATATATATATATATAGAATAAGAGAAAGAGAGAGAGGTTTGTCTGTCGTACCGTTCACAATCCTCCCTCGTATTTTGAACATGGTTATAGGTATATACTTTGTTCTTGTTTAGAATCGGAGTTCCAGTTTCTTCTAAAGTCTACTTCGATTATATACTTCTAATGTTTCCGTCTGAGCTCTGAAAATGTAGTTACTATTTTTTCTTTCAATAGGATTAGATAAGTTAGCTCATCATTAAGTTTACACTATATATATATATATATATATATATATATATATATAATTAGGTAAAGGTCTTAAAAATCCATCGTAAGTAATAAATTTATTTTGATGAATATATGTATACTCATCTCATTAAATCAACTATATTTTATAAATATACAAATTGCTCTGTATCATACATTGAACTCTCCTGCAAAATGAAATGTCCTCTTTGGAATAATCCCAACCAAATACAATTTGGCATTATATACAAACCCTTTTTTTATACAAGTTCTATTGAAGACGAATGGATGTCTTTTCTGGACATATAGTGTCTAAAACTGTGCAAATATTGGATGCATAAGAGCGATTTCGGCCATTCTATTAACCATTATCAAAATTTTGTTAATCAATCATGTAGATTTTTATATATGTGTATATATAGTGACAGCACATTGTAGTCGTATTCTTAGTTGATATTACAGTGTGTTGGCTTTATTTATTTATGCTTATTAATATTTCCATCAGGTTTAGCCATTTTTTACATCTGGATGAGACCTCAATTGTGGCATTTTCAACCAGTATATTATGGAGAGACTTTTGTAGGCTGCAGATGTTTAAATCTGTCCGAATTGAGCTCTGGTTAGACTGATCACCTTAATAGGCATGTAGTGGTATGTAAAATTATTCATATATTTAATTTATCAAGTTTAAGGAAAGTTTATGGTAGATAGCACTGTGTTGCCATATAGACTAGGTTACATTTCTCTTTCGTGTAAATTTGTAACTAGGCTTTCTTCAGGGTTTAATGTGTGTAGGAGGGAGTTAACTAAAAAGTGATCCGTTTAACAATGGCAAGATATTCATATCGTGTGCCGGCAGATATGAATTTTACATAAGCCGTGAATGGCAATGGACACGAGGCTGCACGGCTGTATCATATTGCGTTTCCAAAACAAAGGCATCAAAATTTAAATGTTTAAATCTTGTAAAAGCGTTTTGATTCATTATATATATATATATATATATATATATATATATATATATATATATATATATATATATATATAGAGAGAGAGAGAGAGAGAGAGAGGAGAGAGAAAAGAGAGAGAAAGAAACGGTGGATTACTGTATAAGAGCTCGGATTGAGGAATCGGAGAGCCGTGTTCGAATTCCAGCCGAATCCATTATATTCACTTACGTACTAATACACTTAGGAAAGGTATGAATCCTCTCCTTTTCACTCTAGGTATGAGTAAATGGCAGGACAGATTGAGTTCCATAGCCTTAGATGGCAACTGGTCTAGGAGAAGGACAAGTCTGAATTCAAAAC